TCTTTATTTTTGCTGTTCCCTTCATATCTGCTTAACCTTCTGATTTAATATCTTTAGGAGATAAGCTTTGAATGATTGTATTATAGCTGTTGGTGTGGTAATATAACATTGCTATTAACTTTGCATCTAAAAATGCAAGAGATTTGCGAGCATGCAGTTTTGGATAATTTTGGTAAACTTTTATCTTTCTTTTTTTTTTTAATCAATTCACTACAAGGAAGGTGATAAAGCCACTAAAATGCAAGGGGTTACTGAGTGTGAGAGAAATCATTATTAATTATTTTTATCAATAAAAGATCAAGATTCAAGAAGACAAAAGATGGTGATTAACATTGCATTTAAATTTTTGAAGATCAAAGTTGACTAGGATGCAAGAAGGCAGAAGAGAGTTTCACAAACATGTACAAGAACATGTCAGCGTAGAATTTAGTTACATATAGTAATTCCAACTGTAAAAGAGAAGGCTATCTACCAAGCTAGTACCATGCTTACATTCATAAAGACAAACTACCAAAGAGGAAAGCTCCTCAGAACAATTATCATGAAAATATACTATGATTCACTTTACATTTATTTGCATATTATTAATATTTGACATTTAAAAAAACATGATGTCCCTTTTGGACATCACCAATCAAGATTCTCCATAGACTCCTTTTCTTTATTATCTCTGAATTGCCATGCTTTCTTGGAAAAAGATAGTGGTTTGCTGTTACCTTTTAAATGCCATATCCCTTCAAGACACAGGCAATCATGGCTCTCCACTGTTTGCTTTTCTTTATTATCTCTGAATTGCCATGCTTTCTTGGAAAAAGATAGTGGTTTCCTGTTACCTTTTAAATGCCATATCCCTTCAAGACACAGGCAATCATGGCTCTCCACTGTTTGCTTTTCTTTATTATCTCTGAATTGCCATGCTTTCTTGGAAAAAGATAGTGGTTTCCTGTTACCTTTTAAATGCCATATCCCTTCAAGACACAGGCAATCATGGCTCTCCACTGTTTGATTTTCTTTATTATCTCTGAATTGCCATCTTGGAAAAAGTAGTCAAGTGGTTTCCCATTACTTTCTCTATGATATGGAATTCGGAGTTTTACTTCTAGTGGCCATCCAGGGAGAGATTTCATTGTTTGCGTTCTTTATTTTTAATCCATATTTGGAGAAAGAGATGGGTTTTTACCTTTCTCAAGGGCATTTGTGCAAAAGTGTAGGTAACTGACTAGGATGGAACTTGAACTCAGTTCGTCATTTTCACTGTATTCCTAACTGAGCAATGGTTAGAGGAAAAAGATCATTCAGGCCTTCAGTAATGTTACCAACATTCATACTCTAGCTTCGATCTTCAAATCCATCCAAGAACCATCCAGTGACCTTTGAATAAGTTCAAAAAAGAGGGAACAGTAGAAAGGAAAACTGGATCAGGAGGTCATAACAAGAAGAGGGATCATCATTTCAACTTAGAGCTAAAGAGATCAATTACAAAAGATCCAACACAATCCATAAGATGTTTGGCACATGAGAACGGACTTTCAGTCCAAAGAGCAGTGAAAAAAAAAAGACTTAAAAATGAAATCGTATGTGAAACCTTAAACTCAATTCATCATTTCCACATTTTGTGCCAATAAGAGTCACACTACTTGTCCATCTTAAATTTCGACTCCTATTTATTTAATCTTAATGTGTTTTTTTCTTAAATTTTTGCTACTCCCAGATTGTCATTTTATAATTGTGAGCATGTAGCCTGGATTGGAAATGAAAAATAAACTTTGGTTGAGATTTGAACTTGCATCCCTTTTGAAACCCGCCTTCTGGATGAGGCTAATATTTAATAAAGATAAAAAAATTCCTTGCTCAGTTATGGTGGGCTGGAGTTTTGATTTTTTTTAAAAAATGTTCTTTTTATTTTATCAAAAAGATAATTTTCACAATATTACCATTGTCGGTCATTTCATTTTTTTCTTTTTTTTACCTTTCAGATCTTTTGCATAAACATTGTATTTCTGAGTATTAGTTCTTCAGACCTTGATTAAACTAAGCTTTAGATCAAACATAATTTTAAAAACCAAATAAGATTTTTTTTAGAGTAGGATATATAGCTAAATGGTTAGAGTATTAGCGGTCTGATAATGAGACCTGTGTCACAAATCACGGTCAATTAGTCAAGAAGTTGACTTCTTAATAGTAATCTTCCTGGGGAGATGATCCTGTTGGAAAGTTTCTGAAAAACAGCACAGATAGTAACAACAAAGACACATATAATAGTCTAAATAATAACTCCTCATCCCAGAAATTCCACTCTTTTGTTGCCTGTACACTGGGCTTTTTTCAGATTTTGTTCACACCAACATGAACTGGAATTGAAGCACAACATGGTGGTGATTTGTCCAGTCAGTGAAAAACTGAGTGATGACCCAGACTATATGTTTACACTTTTGTTACTGATCCTGTTAATTTTTGTTGCTTTTTTTAGGATGGGCAGGAATCTGATTCCTATTCGTACAGAATGTGGAAACAGCGAATTGAGTTCAAATTCCAATCTAGTTGGTTACCTACACGTTTGCGCCAATGCCCTTGAGAAAGGCGTGAACACTTTTTTTCCAGCAAAAATTCACGTCATTTAATCTGTGTGAGTTTATATTTCATAGAACTAGTAGTGTATTTGCATTGAGAGAAATAAGGAATATACCTATAGAGGTTAATTTTGATGAATCTTGCCAGTTGGATTTTATAGCCTAAACCAGAAGTTGAGTTTCAAAAGGGATGCAAGTTCAAGTCTCAACCAAAGTTTATTTTTCATTTCCAATCCAGGCTACATGCTCACAATTGTAAAATGACAATCTGGGAGTGGCAAAAATTTAAAAAAAAAAAAAAAAAACACATTAAGATTAAATAAATAGGAGTCAAAATTTAAGATGGACAAGTAGTGTGACTCTTATTGGCACAGAATGTGGAAATGATGAATTGAGTTTAAGGTTTCACATACGATTTCATTTTTAAGTCTTTTTTTTTTTCACTGCTCTTTGGACTGAAAGTCCATTCTCATGTGCCAAACATCTTATGGATTGTGTTGGATCTTTTGTAATTGATCTCTTTAGCTCTAAGTTGAAATGATGATCCCTCTTCTTGTTATGACCTCCTGATCCAGTTTTCCTTTCTACTGTTCCCTCTTTTTTGAACTTATTCAAAGGTCACTGGATGGTTCTTGGATGGATTTGAAGATCGAAGCTAGAGTATGAATGTTGGTAACATTACTGAAGGCCTGAATGATCTTTTTCCTCTAACCATTGCTCAGTTAGGAATCCAGTGAGACTGACACAAAACAATTTTAGCCTGTTCTCTTTCTAGCTGAATCACTCAAAGGGCTTTTCAGTAATTCTTACAACAAATGGTGTCAAGATGGCTAAACGTCTTATCTGAAAACCTGGAAAAAGAAACTCAATTAGTTTGGTGGTTTTAAACAATTTGTGGGATGCTGTAACATGATTTGGACAATTTTGCTGTTACACCCAGTGTGTGTGTATATATATATATATATATATATATATATATATATATATATATATATATATAAATAAAGAAATATTGTTTTAAGGTGTGCTATATTTATGGGATAAAGTTCTCAATATCAGAGATAGAGCATATACAAATATAAAAGTGAACAATTAAGTGTGTATATATTACATGATACTACTGTTTATAGATGAACTTATAAAATACAAGGTGTTCAGAACACAGTGAGCTGGCACAATAGAGCTCAGTGGACATTTGCATTTTTGAGCCAATTAAGTCAAAGCTCAGTCATTGTCTTTCCTTGTTATACACATGATCTTCATTTCCTATCACTTCTCCTCCATTGATATCACACACTTCATTCAACATTAGCATTTCCCCTGTAGCCCTCTACCTTGATTGGCTCTCGAGCCATGTATTACATGAAATTTGGTGAAGAAAAAGTTACCAAAATTATTTTTCAACATAGAGTCAACTTATTTATTTTCCTTCCCCATTTATATTCAGTTATCACATTAAAAGTCATTGTTAGGCTATGATTCAAATGTGCGTACTGATGTTACTTTTCTCTAATAATTGGATTAACCTAAAAATTTAGGATAAAATGTTATAGTAATATTTTAGGTGTGTTTTGATTGTAAATATACAGTAGAATTTTCTCATTTGTTTTCTATGGTTTATCAATCCTTTGTAGATTATTTAAAGCTGAAACATTATTTTTCCAAATACAAGTCCTATTAAATTGTTTTATTTTAAATAAATCATTCTGGAAATTTTTACACACACCTAATCCTTTATGGAAAATAGTGAAAATTATTCTGGTGATCTGGGAGGGGATGCAGGGGTAGGCATTAAATTATAATCAGACCAATCATAGGATCACATCTGTTGTATGGCGAACTAAGTTTTTTTTTCCTCCGTATGAGTTCGAATCCTCGTCGCCAAGTGTTGTAGAGTGGTTTCACAGTGGAGGCTTGTATTTGTACTAAGTCGGTCCTAAAAAAAAAAAGAACTTGATATAATAGGTATAATGCAGAGTAATCTAGTTGTGGTGGCTGATACTTTAATATCCAACTAACGGTCGTCCGACATCGACTGACTGACCAACTCTCTGAGCGACTCCTACTTATTATAGGTAGGAGAGTCTATTAACTATAGAATAGGTGTGTTCCACTATAACAACATCTGAGTCAGTTAAAACAATACTTAAAAAGTTAAAAAGAAAAACTTTTTTTGGTTGTCTTTGTTTAGTGGCATACTAATCAATCTCTATGGAGTAAAGCTGAAATCTAAATATTCCGTAGGCAATTTTTTTTTTCAGGTAATAATGATTTTTAGTGATACAAGTCTTACATAATTAAGTGGGAGGGAGATGTGGATTCATGCCTTTTCGAAGAGTATTTGCTCATAAGTGAATATAACGAACCCAACTGGAACTGGAACTCAGCTTGCCGATTAATAATTCCGAGTCATTATCATTTACATCCGAGCTTACAGCACTTGGTATTCCAAAAGGGTCACCCATCTAAGTACTGGCAAGGCTCAATGTTGCTTAACTTTGGTGATCATATGGGAACCGCTGTTTCAAGGTGATGTAGCTGTAAGACATATTTTTTGTAGAAGGTAGTATCAAGAAAAAAAAAAACAGACAGCAATGATTACAATCAACCTAAAAGAAAAATACACAGTTATATGATCAGAATCATACAAAGGAATACAAAGAAAACAGTATTCATGAGACAAATCTTTATTATAACCAACAAGATAATATTTGAGTTGCGTCATGGTTCCTAAAGATTGACATCATGAGATGATAGTATTTATGAACTGTGGTATTGATGTTGCTAAAGACAATACTCATGAAATGAATCAGTTATAAGACAGTATAATATGAAACAAAGTATTTTTGTAACCAAGAACTGACATAATGAAATGTATATTTAATTGTTTTTAAAGTTTTTTTTTTTTTTTATTACTACCAAGAAATTTTGTAATTTATAAGATGGAATTAATGAAATATGTCATTGCTATAAGTGAACACTGTATTTATGCGGTGAATTGGATTAGCATATATTTATATAAGATGATATGTCGAAGCCTAAAAAGACGCTATTAATGGGATATGATATTACTACTATCAACAAGACCGTATCTATGACAGCAACATTTATGAAGACATGATATATGAGACTCTATTTCGGAGACAAATTGTAATTACTATAGAAGACTGTGTAAATTGAAATAGTTTTATATGCAGTGATGTTATAATATTATTATCAAGACAAGTATTTCCAACACTCTATTTGGCTTTTGTTTTTTATTTTTTTGGTTACCAAGCATTAACATGACAGATATGAGATGTATTAAAGGAATTCGTGTTGTCCTCAAAAGTAGGGAGACACGACATATATATATATATATATATATATATATATATATATATAAGAGAGACACCATTACTTCACACAGATTTGGCATTCAATAAAGATATACTCATTGACAGTTACTCATTATAATGAGAGATAACTCCTCAATCACTTCATAATGCTTTGTACTTTAAGAGTTCAGGATTATCCTGATGTTGAAAGGAGAGTGGAGGCATATTACTGATCAGTTCTACAATCAAATAACATTGAAATTGGGAAATCCACTTTCAACTGAGAACTGCTTGTCCAAACAGTTCACTAATGAAGCAAAAAGCGCACTGTATTTCATTCAAGTTGGCCCTGTGCTATTAGAATGGTGTCTTCAGATAGGAAATTGAAAATAAAATTCCCCGTTATAAAGTAGATGTGACAGTGTGTGCATGTGTCCAAATCAGCCCAAGAACACAGCAACATGATATTTTCATTAGAAGAGTCATTATGGGAAGAGCAGTCAGAAGACAGCCACTTATCAAACCAGTCAAGAAAACAGTTAAGAGGAACAGAACCTTAGAATTTTTACGTGTTCATCTTTTCACACGAGTCCTTATTAAGCTTAATTTTTAAACAGTGTATGTTTATCAGTTTAGAGATTGTCTAGCTAGAAATTTTGTTTGAACTGCCTGCAGCTTGATATCGAACATAGCAAATTTTGGGTTAGGGTAGGGGAAAAAATTGGGTGGTCTAAAATTCATGGGGAAGATCAATTCAGAGAAAACATATCCATTCTGGAGAAACAAGTTCTCTGAGTATTCACTGATGGTTATTTGATTAAAAACAGCATTCTTCTCATAGAAGATAGAACCATGCAACAATAAAAGACTCAAGAATGACAAATTTTGGAAAAAAATATTCAAGACTTTCATGGTCAATTCTCTCTTCTGACATGAATCCTATCAAACTTGTCATTTTCGGTTTTGAAATAAGGAAAATAACGTTTGGAGTGGTAGGAAATAACGTCAGATAAAGAATCCATTGATTTCTTAGAATTTGTTTTGGATACCAAAAAAAATGAGCAGATCTGGGTTTTCAAGAAGACATGAATGAGAAAACATGCATTCTTCAAAATGAGTAATTGAACCTTGTATGGCTGTGATGCTCTCTTTGGCTAAATGGTTCAAAGTACACTACATTAGACGGTGGCTTGTTCTAGGAAGGAGGACACAGGTTCGAATTCTTGCTCGAGAGCACAGTTCCTTTATCAAGTCTCGCGAATACGTAGACTGGTAGACATAATTCCCACTGTTTAAAAAAAAACCCAAAAGAAACAGGGAGTCTACTCAAACATGGGTATCCACAAAGTAACATTTGGAATTTGGAATAGTAAGGAAATAAAGAAGATATACAAGAAAACCTACAAGATCTATTCTGTGTTTCTGAATACAGTGTGGTCAGATATGCTGAAAGAAACATTCTAAATTCAATGCCTAAAAGAATAAAAACTACAATCTGCTAATGACAGGTCTATCATATTTATAAAAATATTCTTAAATGTTTTTAGATCTTTGAATAAAGGCGCTTGTTCAAAAATAGCTAAAATAGCAGGACAGACTTGGTCCTATAGCCTTGGCTGGCAACCAGTCTAAGAGAAGGACAAAACCTCCAACTATGGGCTCGCCAACCCGCAATTGGCCAAGCATGGTGTGTATGGCTACAACTCTGAAGATATGTTCAATTAGGGAGAGGTTCCACTAAGATGCAAGAAAGTCCTGGAATTGGATTTGCTCTAGTGAGCTTTTATCCCTGGCACCTTTTAAAAATGGGTGTCTACTTACTTTTGCCATATCTTAATACATTATATTAAACAGTATTTTAGAAAACATTTCTGTTACCACCAAGACATTACCAATGTTATTAAGTACTGTTAAAGGCAATATTACCTAATCAAATGTCATTCTATGACCGAGGACACTGTATGAAGTAGCAGTAGTGTTATGTTTTGCAACTATGGCACATGATCATGACTGAAAAAAAAAAAACAAAGATCTACAAGTGTATTTATGGAGACTTGTAACCAATAGCAAAGACTTATCTAAGATTCTATGTGTGCACACACACACACACATATATATATGCAAGATATTGTTAATAAAGATGTTGTACAAGGGAGAATTTAGGAAAAAGTGTTATTAGTAGCATAACCTGATACTAATAACTAAAGTGTGTTCAGGACACAAATCATTATCATAAAGGATAATGTCTACTATTGTATGTACAAGTTGAGGTAATGTTGTTACCAAATATTGGTATAATATAGAATTGTGTCTATCAGATGAAAGGTATTGGTGCCACATAATGGGTGACAAGTGTTTGGGTGGGGTTAAACATATATATTGTAGCAAATATGCTTTATTTAACACACTTCTGAGAACATTACTGGATTATTCTCATATGAACAGAAGAAAAATAGTTTTTGGGAAAAAAAATCACTTCACAACAGTGACATCTATTACCCACTAGGTGAGAAGTTGGTATTAAACGGTGTAAAAGTAGTGTTTGGTATGGTTTGTTTTTGGTGTTCAGGCCAAGATAGAATTTGTTTTTTTTTTGCAGGGGGAGGTGGTGGTGCATTTTCAGTCATTTTCTTTAATTTTACACTTATTTTCCAATATTTTTAAAAATATTTAATTTTTTTTTTTTTTTTTTTTTTTTTACACAACTTGAAATTGGATGTCAGTAATTAAAACAGAAACAATAAAACTATTTTGGTAAAAGACAAAAAAAAAAAAAAACTTTTTCTTCTTTTGACTGAAACTGCTATCTTTGCTCTGCAGATTGTACAGTTAGGCAGATGATATCTTGAGCCTTCGATTGTAAAAAGAAAAATGGTTACATGAATTTTAAAGCATTAAAAATAAAAATTCAAGAATATACTAGATTTGCCAATCAAAAATTGTTATACAATCAAAAACTTCAAATAGTTAATTGAAAAAAGAAATGATAATGATCCTAAAAAGTATTTCAAATTAAAAATATCTTTGTCAGAATTTCTGGGATGAGGAGTTATCATTATTTATATCCGGACAAACAAAACAACAGAGATGAGGACATTAGACCGAATGTAAATAATGTAAATTAATTTTTTTTTCTTTCATTTTTGAACATTTCCATTCAGTTATTTTTCTTTTTGGAAACTCATGAAATAATTTTTTTTTTTTTTTTTTTACATTTGGTGAAAAGCCAAGCATCACACATTTTTGTGTATATTATAATCTTAAAATAAAACATTTTCATGAAAAAAAAAAAGTTTGTTGCTAACTGTGAAATGTCATGACCAATTTTTTGTTTATTCCAATTTGAAATAGATATTCTAGAAATTGAAGAAGTTGAAAAAATCCTATTTGGAGTGCATTTCTGAAAGCCACTTGCTTACAAAGCCATAACTTTTCTGACTGGTTTTCAGGCAGAGAAAAAAAAAATTTCAGAATCATTCTGTATTTTGCAAATTGTAAAATGTCATGTCATCTTTTACCAGATTTTTGAGAAAACAAAAGTTTATGATTAGATGGCAGGCCAAGTAGCATATATTTATAAAGCTATTTCAAAATTGATATTTCAGTCAATAAACTATTAAATTATTTTTGCTGTTGTTGTTGTTTGGAGAGACAATTTATTGACAGACATATGGTAATCAACAGGGTATTCCATTAAGAAAAAAATACAAGAAGGTATATCAAGAAACAAGAGGAAATATATGACTTTAGAGAATCCTTCTGGTTGGTAGTAATGCTCATCCACAGTGCAGATAGTTAAGAAGAAAACTCAAAATCAGAGTTCATTACAGGACTCATTTGGTAAAAAGATATTTACTCACTTGTTTGCTAGTCAGAGCTGACTTTCAAGAAGAAAAAATTGAAAACTATTTCGTAAGTTTAATATGCATTATTTGCATCTGACAAGGGAAATGTGAAGCCTCCGTTCTTGCAGGTTGTTCTAAAATTTATTAAAGGTTCTTCACAGTACTTGACAGTGTGCAAGTGGGACACGGAGGGTCAGTTTTATTTACTCAGTCTTACACTACCAGGAAAGACAGTTGGGGTGTTTGTCCAGCCTGTACTCCAGTTTGATGACAATGGATAGCTACGAGGCCAAGAGTAGTTGTTGTCCCAGTTCTGCGAGCAGGTTGCCAAGGGTTGCAGAATCAAGGGTGGAGCACTGGACATTTGTTGAGGC